GGGGGGGAGGGAGATGCCAAGTTTGGTTTTAGACTTTTTGAGTTTCACGTGACAGTGGACATGGAGGTAGTTGGAAGTGAAGAAGTCTGGAATGGGGCAAGTTTAGACTGGAGAAGAGAAGGTTTGCAGAAAGCATAGGTATGATAGCAGTCTTCAAAGTATAGGGTGTCCCAAAAGTCTTAGTGCAGCTTAAAGCATATTAATTTGTGTTTAAAAGTCTCATGTAGAAGAGGAGTTAGACTTTCTTGTTATGCCTGGTCTCAGAGGGCAGAGCTAGGAAGTAGAGGTGGAAATTATAGAGAGGGTGATTTCAGATAGATGTGAATAAGGACATCTTAATAGTTAAAAGGCTCTGAAAGTAGAATGAACTTCCTCAAGAGAATAGGTTCTCCCTTACTGGAGGTCTTTAAGTAGAAGCAAAATTATAACCACTTGTTAGGCATTTTAGAAAGCATTCGTATGGATCAAAATAGATGGTCTTTGAGGACACATCTAAGATTTTGATTTTATAATAACAATCCTTGATTCTAATCCAGAAGAAATTCTAACCCATATCTAGGTTAGGGTTGATCATGTAGTTTGGGACTTCACTGTAGGGGATTCTCTGGGGAAGAATATGAAGAGCAGAATATCTGGGGACTGAGCATTGGGGTCAGATGTCAAAGAAATTTCCCTTAGGTATTTTGAGGAGAAAATGGAAGGCATTCAGAAGGAAGAGTTTCAGAGGACGATCATCAATGTCACCTATTGCAGAGAGTTTGGGAATGAACACTGAGAAAAGTTTGATTTGGTGATTTGAATGTTATTTATGACTTGGAAGATAGTGGTTTCAGTTGAGTGCTGATGGTGGAAACTAGTTTGCTTGCTAGGGGTTGGTAAGACAGTAGATAGTGAGGAGGTATAAGTAGCAGTAGTATTATTTAGTAACACTCATATAATGCTTTGTGATTTGCAAAGCTCTTTTCTGATAAACCTGTGAAATAGTTAGTGCACGTATACATATCCCTCTCTATAAAATCAGTGGATCACTAAGCATTTATGACTTAGTATATATACCAGACTCTGTGCTAAGAAAAAGCAACAAGACCCCCTGCCCTCAAGGAATTTATATTCTGATAAGGAAAAAACACATACATAAAAAAGGTATATAGTATAAAAATTACATACAGGATAGTTACAAGATAACCTTTGAGAGGAAGGCACTAGCAGATGGGGAAGACAGGAAAAGTAAACGAATACAATTTTGAAGGAAGTTAGGGATTCTAGAAAGTGGAAGTGAGAAGGGAGAGTATTTTAGGAATGGGGAAGAGCCCATGCAAAGGCGCAGAGCTGAGAGGATAATAGAGTGTGGTATGGGAGGAAAAGCCAGAGACCACAGAGAGCATGCAGAGGAATTCTGGGTAAAGATCAAAAGGGGACCAGACCGCCTTATGATGAGTTTTAAATGCCACCAGAGGAAGTGAAGCTCTGACTAAATGTGAGCCCTGACATTTAGAGCTAGATGACTGGTTTTAATTTGTGACTGCTGCTTCCTTCCTTTGTCACCTGTCAAAGTACTTTCATTATTGTGGACCTCAGTTTTTTCAGCTGTAAAATCAGGGGTTTGGACAGGTTCAGGTGACTTTCTTGTCATCGATCGATTAGGAAGTTAGAGCTGGACTTGAAATCAGCTTTTTGGACTTAAAGGTCAGTGCTCTTTCTGGGTCACCTATGCTGCCTCTCAAGGACTAACTGTTCTTCAGAACACTAGATACTTTGAGATAGCACATTAAAAAATATGTATTTTTAGATAGAAGGCTTGAAATTATCCCTGAAATTCTTTTATTAGTTCTAATATTAGCCATATAGATACTTATAATGCCTCAAAGTCTGTACGATGCTTTTTTAAAAAATCAGCAAATAAACATTTATTAAGTGCTTACTGTGTACCAGGCACAGTGCTAAGTGCTTTTCATGCATTATCTCATTTGATCCTCAATAAAAGGGAATGTGTAACTGTGGTCCAGAGGTGTTCAACTACAAGCCAGGGCCCCACGGCAAAGGTCTGAACCAGATTAAAATGTGATTGGGAAATGTTTAACAAAAACACATAAAAATGTAATAGAACATAGATAATGTTAGTTTGTGTTTTTCCAAGTTAACATGCTGCTGGCAGGGATCCATTTCTATTTAACTTTGATATGGTGCTATGGTCAGTCCAGATCTCTGTTTGGCCACATTAGATCCAAATGGTAATTCGGTCACTTAGAAGATTATTGAGGGTGTCCTTATTGTTTTTGTAGACCATATCTTTTTTCTTTCCTGTATCTTCAGGCGCCTGTCTCTCTTTTCCTTTCTTGGCTCATTTGTATTTCCTCCTTGTTGAGCATCCAGAGAAATAAAAGTTGACACCTCATATTGGTCAGTTTTGCTTTCTGCAAACAGGTTTTGGTGATATTTAAGGTGGTTGTGGGATGAGAAGCTGAAGTGATTTGATAAACTGAGGTATTTGGATTAACTAAGATTTTTATTTGTTCCCATACTGTCTCCTGTTAATCTGGAAAACGGAAACTTCACTACTAATTTACTTTAGTAATATAAAGTTAAAATTCAGAAATGTTACATGAAATTTATAGCTCTACTAAATCATGTTTTTTTTTTTTAACAGTTTCTATGCAGATTTTGGACCTCTGAACTTGGCAATGGTGTACAGATATTGCTGTAAACTTAACAAGAAACTAAAGGTGAGTTTGTTTTGGTAAGAGAACTTACAAAGCTTGATACACTTGATTTTGACCAAGAGTTTGCTCTGTATAGACCATTTTGTTGTGTTATCCTTAAACTCTGGGAGTTTGTGTGGACACTTGTCTACCCATTCACCAGCTGAAACTGATCCTCTTGAGTTCACCACAAAGGACATGTTCACTTCTTTTACTTTTTAGGTTGGATTGAAATATGAACTGAGTGAAGTCACTGGAGTAGTGAGCTGAGAAATAAAGGGCAAATCCTCTTAGGTTTTCATTAATGAGTGTCTCTCAAATTCCCAACTAGGATAATCTTCCTGAAACCTTTATGTCTATCCTGGAACATTGTTACCCGGTGATATGATCCATGATTACATGGCAACCACTCTCTAGAAATAAACTTTGTTTTGTTTAATCAAGATCTAACTTTGGTTGTACTTTAAAGTGCTCTGTGTACATACACTGGACATATGTATATAAGTACCCACACCCATTTAAATATATGTATATAAATCATGATATGTTGAATAAGCTAGCAGTGATTTTGTTAGGATTGTTTTACCTTTTGTGTCTATCAGGGCCAGAAGTGTCATATTTAGATGTGTATAATATTGAATCTCTGTTTTTATTTCTATTATATAGATATATGGATTTTATTTTCTTTAACATTCTACATTCATGTGAAGGATATTATACCTACATTCTTAGATATTGTGGTTCTTTTACCTTTTTGTCTTTTTTAAAAGCAGAAAATAAAAAAAAGGTTTTGTTTCTTAATACAGAAAAATATTTAATTCATCTTTTCTACTTCAGATTTCTCAGTTAATTGATACTTAATGCTAATTAAATACAGATAAGTCAAAATTAACAATAATTTCAATTCTGAGAGCAAAATTTATTAATTAAATTTTATTAATTAAATTTATTAATTTTGTTATTGAATTATACCTCTGCAGTTCACATTCTCTGTTGGCTATTAGTGAATCAGCACATTCTCTTAAACATAAAAGACACTTAATACATATTTGTTGATATGAATGACTGCAGTTGACCAGTGTGTTAGGAAGAAATGATGGGCTGGTTAAGGTCGAACATTTACCATATAATAGTAAATGCACCGACTGTTAATCATTACTCTAAAAATTCATTTTATTAATGCCTTCAGTGTTTACATCCTAATCTTTTCTAGAATGGCACAACTCTTCCCTCCAAATTGACAAATAGAAATATTTAAGCAAAAACATTCATTACAGTGACAGCTCCTAACAATGTACATATACAAGGTTCAGCTCATGTAGTCTCATTCCTTCTCTGCTACTGCTGCACTTTTAAAGAAGTGAAATACAGTGGAAGGGAGCTATTGTAGCTGATGCTAATGTATTATTAAATCTGTTATTATCTACCTTTGGTGGAAATGATTTTCAACATGTAATGTGACTTGGAAACATACATACTAGGCATTTATCCATCATTCAAACAAGAGTTATAGTTTTCAAAGAACTCTTAATACCTTTTAGCTTTCTGCTGAGGCAAATTATAGTTCAAAATATATACTTGAGATATTCATTCTTCAAAGACCATTTTTATGTAAAGTGTGTTTTTTAATGGTTGAATTAATGGGGAAAGGGGTAATTCATAAATAATTGAAGCTTGTTCTTTCTTTTGGGGATTAAGTAAATTTTTGGCCTTTCTGATGTTATTTTTTAATGCATTTGGTGTAAAGTGGCTGTTAACAATAACAGTCTGGGAACTAAGCCTATTTTATATGAGTGACCAAAGAGGGAGGAGGTCACTGTTTAGAAAAATCTGGCAATATATTTACATTTAAAACTCAAACCTAATACAAAAGAGCAGACCTGTTGAGTAATGACCATTTTAAAGCTTAATGCATTCCCCACTGCACAGTTGTGTTATGAGTACATAAAGACTGCGGTTTTAGCCAATTTTCAGTTGTAACTTTTCCCAGAATTTTTGTTCCTTCCAGGCCATCTTATTGATCAGGCCTCCTAAAGAGCAGCTTTGATGAGACTACTCTTCTGCCCCCCAAACCTTCATTGGCTTTCCATTGTCTTACAGTTAAAGTCTGACCTCATTATGGTGGCATTTATGCCTCTTGAAGAGAGGTTGCTAATCTGTTTCTCCAGGCTACACTCCAAAAAGGGACTACTTAACCAGAATATTTCTGACTTCTCGTCTTTGATTATATGGTTTCTTTCTTCTGTTTGGAGAGCCCATTTCTGTCCTTTGAAAATGGTGTCTACCAAAATGCTGCCTTTTCTGTCCTTTGCTACTTCCTTTCCCTCTATCAAGTGGTAGTAATTTCCCCCTCTTAATGCCCACGCCTCACTTGATTTTTTCTTTGTTTTTTTTTTGGGGGGGGGAATAGAATAAGGGATCATAAGTTTGTAGATTTTGAGCCAGGACTGGAGAGATCAAACTCATTATTTTACAAATGATGAAAGCGAGACCCAAATCTTGAATCCCAGCTCCAAAACTTTAGCTTTGTGGCCTTGGACAGGGTACTAACCACATAGAGCCTCAGTGTTCTCCTGTGTTTAAAAAAATGGGGATAATAATACCTACTTTATGGGATTGTTGTGAGGAAAAGCTCATTGTAAATCCTAAAGGAAAATGTTAAATGTGAATTTTTGTTATTCCTTTTACTGCCTCATATTAAAACACACAAGTTATTGAAAGCTCCTTAATAGATTATTGTCATTGAGGACAGTGTCCTTTTCCTCTTCGTCTTGGTATTCCCTTATAGTGTCTTGCATATAGGAAGCACTTAGTCATAATAGCGAGCAGTGCTATAGGATTTAAGGTTTGCAAAGAGCTTTACAGGTATTGTCTCATTTTGATCCTCACAACAAGCTCTGTGAGGTAGGTTTTATTATTATGTCCACTTTACAGATAAAGAAACTGAGGCTAAGAAGTTAAGTGACTTGCCAGGGGTCACACAGCTAGTAAGTGTTTGAGGCAGGATTTGAACTCAGATCTTTTAGACTCTAAGTTCAACACTCTGTCCACTGGGCAGCCTAGCTGCTCAGTAAATATTTGTTTCATGAATTTGGAATGATTATTAGGTTTTAGTAGAGTTGTAGCTGTTAACTGAATTGTGAGAAATCTAGCCTCAGGCCATAGGACTTGCTGATCCACATAAGCTTCCTAGGTATTTTAGCTATTCCTTGAAGCCAAACCAGGGACTTTGGCATTTGACTGGGGGACATTTGTCACTCACTAAACCTTTCCTTGGCACTAAATTCCAGTTTAAGGATATTGTACCTTTGCTCCCCCCACTGTAACTGGTTGCCCTTGTCTGGTATCTGCCCTCACTTTCCCTTCATACCCTGGTTTGTCGCAGTGAAAAGATCGTAAGGATGGGCTCTCAAGAGTTTAATTCACCAGGGAAAAAAGAACATGTTGAATCAGAAGCAATCTGTCAGAATGAGGTAGTTAAAAGTTCATGCAAAAGAAAAGTATCAAGTGTTAGGCCACATTTCTTGATCTATGATGGTTTAGGCTTTGCTGGCCCAGTTTTCGTCTCCAAGCCAAGAGCCACACTGGGTTTCTTCACCACTGTCCTGAAAGAAGAGTGTCTTCCACCAAAGATCATTTCCCATGCTAGACTGGCCCATCCGACAACTGTGAATTGAACACATTAGTTCAATTATTCTGTAATTTTAGAGTGTCTCCACTGATCAGGAAGCCTTCTGTTTTATCATGAGCACAATTGTATAGGTATTTGCCTACATTTCCACTTTATGCTGTCACTTTATACTATCTAACTTTTTCCCTCCTCCTCCCTTCAACCAAGAGGAAAAACAGAAACGCAAAAAAGGTAAAAGCATCACCTCAGAAACATAACAAAGCACCACTCAGAAAACACTCAGGTGCCCATCTGTCACTGTTGCCAAATACCTCATCTGCTCTGGCAGCCAAGGCTTACTTCTCTTTCTCTTTTATTTGGAGGGATACCACTAAGATTCCTTTCCACTCTGAAATTCTGTGATTCTCATAGAGAACAAATCTCATGGGTTTTTGTTTTTAACATAACTAAAATGGGAAAGAACTGAAATACAAAACTCTTAAAGAGGTAAAAGAATGACTGTCTTCAGAGAGATGGAGTTTCTTTAATGGATAAAAGTGTGGAATCAGCCAACAAATAGTCATTGGGTACCTCCTTTGTGCAAGGAACTATTTTAGGTGCTGTGGAAGAATAGAAAGGAGATACCGCTTAGGATCGGAGAGAGAGCTCTGGGTTATAGTCCTGGCATTTCTACTTAGCCATTTTAGGATCATGGCCACTTTATGAAATGTCCCTCCGTTTCTTAGTTTGTAGAATGAGAGAGTTGTACTTTTCTTTCTCTAAGATCCTTCCCAGCCCTAACTTGTTATAAGCATGAGGCATGTGGTTTAGACATATGCTATCAAGAAGCTTGCTATCTAGTTGAAGAGACTTTTTTTGTAGGCAATTGGGGTTAAGTGACTTGCCTAGGGTCACACAGCTAGTAAGTGTCAAATGTTTTGAAGAGACTTTTTAAAATACGTATGTGAAAAGTTAAATAACAGGGCAGATAGGATGGTATATTGGAAGGAACACTGTACTTTGAGTTATATGAGGCTAGGGTTCAAGGTCTGGTCTCTGATGCTTCACTGGTTGGGGACAAGTCGCTAAATCTCTCTGAGAATTGGTTTTCCCAGTTGTAAAATGGGGTTAATTACATCCATAGTTCTTCCCTCACGGAGTCATACTGAGGATCAAATAAGGAATATGTGAAGAAGCACTTTGTAAACTTTAAAGAATTTTTTTACAAGAGTAAGGACATAACTAGAGCAGGCTGTTCCAGAGCATATGAATGATGGCCCTATAATTGTACAGACAGACACTTAGTACTAGTGGACTGTTCAGAGGTGAAGATCACTGTGGAGCAGGGTTCTGAGGACAGCTTTGTTGTTGAGTCATTTCAGTTGTGCCTGACTCTCTGTGACCCCATTTGGGG